TGGTTCCCAGAAGGGGAGCCAGCCCAGCCCAGGAACAGAAGGGAATCATCGGGGGAGTAGGGGGCCAGGAACCAGGGTCAGCCCGGCCAGTTCACCACACATGCACTGCAGCTGCCCTGGGTCAGGTCCCAAGCTGGGTTCCAGCCAAGTGTAGGGTGAGACCCTTCCATTCCTCTCTATTACACTCACTGCCCAGCACTGAAGTACAAACTCCTGCACGTGGGTCTCAAACAGACCTCTTTCTCCAATGGTGATTGCTCCATTCACCACCCTCTTAGACTTCCCTTCTTCCAGGCAGCCTTTCCAGATCGCTCAAGCTGGGGCTAGGTGTCCCTAGTATGTGTTGCTGCTTCTCCATCACAGCTTTCAACACACCTTATTAGAGCCGCTTGGTCTTCCACCTGCCTCCCTACCAGACCACAAGCTCTGGTGGGCTGACTCAGCCGTGCTTCCTGTTAGCGCCTGTCCCTGGTGTATGAATGTCTTAATAACTATTTGTGGAATGAATGAATGTATGAATGAATGAATGCAAGGTCTTGTCCTCAAGGAGCTCTCAGCCTGGTGAAGGAAGCATGCAATTAACAGGCTATTCCAGTACAGGATCAGCACCAAGGCAGGGGGAGGGGGACCGCCACAAAGGGGAGAGTTTGGTTACAGTGGGGCCGTCACTGGTGCCTCTGCTCCTCTTGTGCCCAAGCCTACTGGCTGGACCCCTCACACCCTTCCTGCTGTCCCAACACTGCACTTCCCATCCCGTCCCCACACACCCTATGTGCGTACCCCTTCCAACGTCCTGCACCCCCGTGCATGTGATTCTCACCCCGGGAAGCTGAGAAGCTCTGATCTGCTGAACCCTGGAAAGGTGAGCCAGCTTTTGCCCACACTTGGGATCTAGTCAGACGAAGATTCCTGTACTGCCTCACGCCTACTGAATGAGTAGGCGTGGGCCTTCCAATTTATTTTTAACAAGTTCCTGGCATGACCCTGATGTTCAGTCAGGGTTGATGTGAGGTACCAATGACCTGCCCAACCCTGCATTAGAGTGACCCACACTCACTCTGACATTGAGGACAGCAATGGAATGCCCAGGGCCCACTCTGAGGACGTTGTCACGGTCTCTCCTGGCCACCCATGCTTGTATTTGAGGCTCCTGTCTAAGAGATTCCCCCAGAGAGTGAGTCTGAACCCCTGACCAGAGCAGCGATTCAGACAAAGAAAATAAGAGACCATCAAGACAGCTTATTCTGCCTTAGGCACCTGTAGGGCCTCCCTGGGTCCGAATCTCGGCCATGTCATCCCTCCCCAGGGAGCCAACACAAGGGCCGGGCCGCCTTCTCTGTGACTGCCCCTGAGTAGGTTCTGGGCCAGGGAAGGAAATGAGGCAGGCTGACATTCATGGAGCTACTGCTTATGCCATGCTTCCTCAATTCCATGAAGACAGGCGAGTCTGTTCTCCCATTATAATCTGGACCTTTCCCTACTCCAAATTCTCAAAGTTATTCTACGTTTCTTTTTTTTTGTTTTTTGTTTTTTGCGGTACACGGGCCTCTCACTGTTGTGGCCTCTCCCGCTGCGGAGCACAGGCTCCGGACGCGCAGGCTCAGCGGCCATGGCTCACGGGACCAGCCGCTCCGTGGCATGTGGGATCTTCCCGGACCGGGGCACGAACCCGCGTCCCCTGCATCGGCAGGCGGACTCTCAACCACTGCGCCACCAGGGAAGCCCCTATTCTATGTTTTTATCTACTGGTTTTGTGTTTTAGCTTTCGCATTTAAAATCTGTCTGGAATTTTTTTTATAGCAGGTGAGATAGGCGTATAATTTCTCTCCACACTCTCACTAAGGCAATTTTTTTAACATCTTTATTGGAGTATAATTGCTTTACAATTTTGTGTTAGTTTCTGCTGTATAACAAAGTGAAGCAGCTATATATATACATATATCCCCATATCTCCTCCCTGTTGCATCTCCCTCCCCCCCTCCCTATCCCACCCCTCTAGGTAGTCACAAAGCACTGAGCTGATCTTCCTGTGCTATGCGGCTGCTTCCCACTAGATATCTATTTTACGTTTGGTAGTGTATATATGTCCATGCCACTCTCTCACTTCGTCCCAGCTTACCCTTCCCCCTCCCTGTGTCCTCAAGTCCATTCTCTATGTCTGCGTCTTTATTCCTGTCCTGCCCCTAGGTTCTTCAGAACCTTTTTTTTTTTTTTTAGATTCCATATGTATATGTGTTAGCATACAGTATGTTTCTCTGGCCTCCGCTGATTGGCTGAGAGATCTGTGCCCCCAGATAATGAGTCACAGATAGCCTGGGCCCAATGCCTGCGAGGCTCCACGGGAAACTCTGACCAATGCAGGAGCTCCAGAGTGAGGTGGGGCAAAGCGGCCCGGTCAGAGCCTCTGTGTGTGACTTTCCCTTGCCAGGTAAACAAAGGGAAGGCAGAAAAAGAAGCCACATGGCTCACTGTCAGACTGAGTCCTAAAGTCACTTTTGTACCAATTCCCATGAGGCTGGGGGTAGCCGGGAGTCCTTGGGACCAGCTAGGAAGAGAGATACTCAAACCACCAGGCAACGCAAAGGGCTAGACTCTGAGTTTGAGCGATTCTCAAACTTTTCTGTATAAAAACACCACCTGGAGAGCTGGTGAAAATGTGGATTCTTGGGCTTCCCTGGTGGCGCAGTGGTTGAGAGTCCGCCTGCCGATGCAGGGGACACGGGTTCGTGCCCCGGTCCGGGAAGATCCCACATGCCGCGGAGCGGCTGGGCCCGTGAGCCATGGCCGCTGAGCCTGCGCGTCTGGAGCCTGTGCTCCGCAACAGGAGAGGCCACAACAGTGAGAGGCCTGCGTACCGCAAAAAACAAACAAACAAACAAAAATGTGGATTCTTGGTCGGGGCCTGGAAACTTGCATCTTTAACAAGCTCGCCAGCTTGTCCTGATGCTGGCGGTGGAGGATGTGGAAGCATGAGCACACAGGGCCCCCCAGGCTCGGGGACCTGTTCCAGCCCTGGAACTAGGTGGCTTTTCTGCTCCCTGGGGTTCCTGACCAGGGCTAGAGAGTCACAGCCTGTGTTTCCAGCTGTGACTCCTAGGAGAACATCAAATTCCAACCAGCAGCCTATGGCCCTCAATTCTTTTACAAATCTTTTGGACCACAAAGAGCAAAGGGAGGCAAAAGCTAACAGGTGAGAAACACAACATCACAATTCTGCCTAGCCTGAGGCACTGCCCCTGCCCCTAGAAGGTGTCCTCACTCCCTTCCTGCAGCCTCAGGTTCCTCCTGACCGAGGGGAGTGAGGCTTCTCATTCCTGTGCTGCCCGCAGGATCTACAATCAAGCAGATAATGGACAAAAATCTACTTCTACATGGAGACAGAGCTCTGGAAGGTTCTTCTCCATAGAAACATGAACACTCTTCTGACTGACGTAGTACAGGTATGAGCAGCTCCCCAAAGCAGGCCTGGAAGATTCGAAAGTTGTCGGGCCGCGGTCAAATCACCAGGATCTCAGATGCTGGCTATTCCGCCTGCAGGAGCCCTCGGGGAAGTTTCAGCAAGAAGGGGCCTCAGCCCGCATGGAAGGCCTCCCTAAACTAACACAGTCATGCTGCTTTTAGTGCACTTGGGCCAAAGCCTTCCAGGCAAAGTGGGCTAATAATTTAATGACGGTGTTTTTAGACATTGTCAAGAGAGTGGTGGTAATGACAGCTTAGAGAGGAGAGAAAGATTGGAAATCAAACTGAGTCTAAGAATTCCAGACTAGCAGAGGCCACCAACATGGGCCACATCGGTGCTTCCCTTTGGGTGGTCACGTGCTTTATTTCTTAAACTCTTTAGGAAAAATGATTCCATAGCAGTTGAGGAAATGGAGCCAGAGTGACGGCTGCATCCCGTTGGGGGGTGGGGTCCACAGATGGGCTGGGGTTTGAGAGGCCTGGACAGGAGCTTCTGGCCACCAGACCCTCTCAGGAGGCAGGGGGATTGGAGAGCTTCACTTACAGAGCTTGCCTGTCACTAGGTGACCCCTGCTTGCTCCCTCACACAGGGACGGTGGCTCCTCCCGTGGAAGCAGGTGTGTATGGACACAGAGAGACACACAGACATACAGAGGTGGGTGGACACACACATGCAGACATACACACCAAGATATACACAGACACACAAAGACACATGTACACACACAGACGCACACACATGCAGAACTAGAGATCCATTCACAGAATCACATGTACACATGTACAAAGACCCAGGTATTTTTTTTTTTTTTTTTAGGAAAAAAAAAAAAGAAAGTCTCACGCTCTTTTCCAAAGGGCTTTTTTTTTTTGCGGTATGCGGGCCTCTCACTGTTGTGGCCTCTCCCGTTGCGGAGCACAGGCTCCAGACGCGCAGGCCCAGCGGCCATGGCTCACGGGCCCAGCCGCTCTGCGGCATGTGGGATCCTCCCAGACCGGGGCACAAACCCGTGTCCCCCGCACCGGCAGGCGGACCCTCAACCACTGCGCCACCAGGGAAGCCTGGCTTTTTTTTTTTTTTAAGATTTTTTTTTGATGTGGACCATTTATTGAATTTGTTACAATATTGCTTCTGTTTTATGTTTTGGTTTTTTGACCATGAGGCATGTGGGATCTTAGCTCCCAGACCTGGGATCGAACCCGCACCTCCTGCACTGGAAGCACGGAGTCTTAACCACTGGACCACCAGGGAAGTCCCGCAAAGGGCATTTTTTTTTTTCTCATTAAACTTTTTTAATGGGTCTCAAATTCTGTGACAGATTTTTGATCAAGTTGTTTCAATTAAAAAGTACTGATTTTAAAAACTAATAACTTAAACTGCCACACACAAAACAAACGGTCCACAAAACATTCTCCTTTCCTTCTGAAGGTTTTACAATGCATTGTTATCATTAACCAGTCTTTTGCTATTAAACTTAAATGGCCAATTGGACAAACAGTTCTGGGGCCGTTCTTCCACCACTGATTAAGACTGGGGTGGCAGGTATTGGGGAAAACATTCATTTAGCCCTCTGAGCTTTCTGTGCAGACTTGGTGACCTTGTCAACTCCAGCTACCTTCTTGTCCACTGATTTGATGACACCCACTGCAGCCGTCTGTCTCATGTCATGAACAGCAAAAAGGCCCAGAGGAGGAGGATAGTCAGAGAAGCTCTCAACACACATGGGTTTGCCAGGGACCGTATCAACGATGGCAGCATCACCAGATTTCAAGAATTTGGGGCCATCTTGCAGCTTTTTCCCGGAACTACGATCAATCTTTTCCTTCAGCTCAGCAAACTTGCGGGCAATGTGAGCTGTGTGACAATCCAGCACAGGTGCATATCCAGCACTGCTTTGGCCTGGATGGTTCAAGATAATCACCTGAGCCGAGAAGCCAGCTGCTTCCATCGGTGGGTCATTTTTGCTGTCACCAGCCGCATTGCCACGACGAACATCTTTGATAGACACGTTCTTGACATGGAAGCCCACATTGTCCCCAAGAAGGGCTTCACTCAAAGCTTCATGGTGCATTTCAACAGACTTCACTTCAGTTGTCACGTTGACTGGAGCAAAAGTGACCACCAGGCCAGGTTTGAGAACACCAGTCTCCACTCAACCCACAGGGACAGTGCCAATACCACCAATTTTGTAGACGTCCTGGAGGGGCAGACGCAAGGGCTTGTCAGTTGGGCGAGTTGGTGGCAGGATGCAATCCAGAGCTTCAAGCAGTGTGCTTCCACTGGCATTGCCATCCTTACGGGTGACTCTCCACCCCTTGAACCACGGCATGTTAGCACTTGGCTCCAGCATGTTTTCACCGTTCCAGCCAGAAATTGGCACAAATAATACCGTGTCGGGGTTGTAGCCAACTTTCTTAATGTAGGTGCTGACTTCCTTTACAATTTCCTCATATCTCTTCTGGCTGTAGGGTGGCCCAGTGGAATCCATTTTGTTAGCTCCAACAATTAGCTGTTTCATACCCAGAGTGTAGGCCACAAGGGCATGCTCACAGGTCTGCCCATTCTTGGAAATACCTGCTTCAAATTCACCAACGCCAGCAGCAACAATCAGGACAGCACAGTCAGCCTGGGATGTGCCTGTAATCATGGGTTTTTTTGTTTTTGTTTTTTTTTTGTTGTTGTTGTTGTTTTAGCAGTACGCAGGCCTCTCCTGTTGCGGAGCACAGGCTCCGGACGCGCAGGATCAGCGACCACGGCTCACGGGCCCAGCCGCTCCGTGGCATGTGAGATCCTCCCAGACCGGGGCACGAACCCATGTCCCCTGCATCGGCAGGTGGACTCTCAACCACTGCGCCACCAGGGAAGCCCTGTAATCATGTTTTTGATGAAGCCTCTGTGTCCTGGGGCATCAGTCATGGTCACATAGTACTTGCTGGTCTCGAATTTCCACAGGGAGATTTCAATGGTGATACCACGCTCGCGTTCAGCTTTCAGTTTGTCCAAGACCCAGGCATACTTGAAGGAGCCCTTTCCCATCTCGGCAGCCTCCTTCTCGAACTTTTCAGTGGTTCTCTTGTCGATGCCACCACATTTGTAGATCAGATGGCCAGTAGTGGTGGACTTCTCTGAATCTACGTGTCCAGTGACAACGACGTGGATGTGGTCTTCTCCTTTCCCATTTTTGCTTAAGTTTAGCGGTGGCTTTCACGACACCTGTGTCCTGGCAGCAAACCCGTTGCAAAAAAGCCCAAAGGGCATTCTTATACACGCACTCCTGCCGACTCAACTGATGTTGCCGACCCCCTCCCCACCCGCAAAGAAGAGAGAAGACCCTTTTCCGGTGTCCTGCAGGGATGGGACACAAGGAGGCCGCGCTGGGCTGTCGTCCTCCTGAGACAGGCCCTGCTCTGTGGCTGCCTCTGCAGTGGTTTCTCCTCTACCAGAAAACGGCCCCTCATTTCATTCGCTTTTCTCCTGATGAAGCACTGACTTTCATCCCTTTTTTTCTCTGTTCTTGCGAGGTAAACATTTAACCATGAAAACTGCTTTTAAATCTGCCCAACTCTTCTGCTTAACATCACCCTGCTAAAAGTGCCTTAAGGGAAACAATTGCTTTGCCAGTTTGGAATTCTCTCTAGCACTGTTCTAGAATCCACAGATTCCTTAACAGCACGCCCAGCCTGAGAACTGGCCTAAGTCGGCTGGACCCAGCAGGATGACAGAGCAGATAAAACTCCAAAGAGAGTCATCGGTGAGGAGAATGCGGGTGCCAGGAGCCTGTCACCCTTGCTGAGGAATAAGGGCTCGGAGCAGAGACGGACTGCCCTGAGCTAGCTGCAGAGTCGTTTTGAGGAGACCTGAGTGGAATCCTAAGTCGTCAGAGAGTTCAGTGATCCAGTTAGGTCTGGTACAGCCTAGAGGGCAAAAAATTTATCCTCTGGGCTACCCTAGTGGCGCAGTGGTTGAGAGTCTGCCTGCCGACGCAGGGGACACGGGTTCGTGCCCCGGTCCGGGAAGATCTCACATGCCGCGGAGCGGCTGGGCCCGTGAGCCATGGCCGCTGAGCCTGCGCGTCCGGAGCCTGTGCTCCGCAACGGGAGAGGCCACAACAGTGAGAGGCCCGCGTACCGAAAAAAAAAAAAAAAAATTTATCCTCTTACTTATAAAACTAGTAAAAGGCCAAACATCACCATCTGCTCCATCCTCCTCCGTGCTGACAAGGCCAAGGTGAGGAGGGAATGAGGATCTTTAAAGTCCTTAAGTTTTGACAGGTCGGTTTAATGTGTAATCTGTGTAAAGAACTGGAGAGACAGGGACTGAGATTTACATTGCAGACGTTCACTGTGGCATTCATGCCACAGATTTTTTTTTAAAATAAATTTATTTTATTTGTATTTATTATTTTTGGCTGCGTTGGGTCTTCGTTGCCGCGCGCGAGCTTCCTCTAGTTGCGGCGAGCGGGGGCTACTCTTCGTTGCGCTGCACGGGCTTCTCATTGCAGTGGCTTCCCTTGTTGCAGAGCACAGGCTCTAGGCACACGGGCTTCAGTAGATGTGGCACGTGGGCTCAGTAGTTGTGGCTCGTGGGCTCCAGAGCACAGGCTCAGTAGTTGTGGAGCACGGGCTTAGTTGCTCCGCGGCATGTGGGATCTTCCCGGACCAGGGCTCGAGTCCGTGTCCCTCACATTGGCAGGCGGATGCTTAACTACTGCGCCACCAGGGAAGCCTCACAGATTTTTATTGAATGCCCATATGAACTGGGCACTGAGCGAGGAGCTGAGTGTACAGACAGGAACAAGAAACACACCTGTAAAGAACATTCAATCTGGAGGAAAAGTTGGACATAAAAATAGGTAAGTGCAAATCAACACGGGAAGTGGAGTGGGTGTGAGAGAAGGGTCCCAGTACAGGTGCCTGAGCTTGGACTTGAAGGAGGAGTCAAGGGAGTCAGACTGACAGATCAAGGGAGAAATTCCAGACAGATAGAGGAAACACCACCCACCTCGGCCTGCCACAGAAACAGGGCAAACTGGGACATACCAAAATAGTGATGTTACAGAAATGGTCAGGCAACTTCTGGTCTATTCGTATTAAGGATATCATAATCCTTAAGAATGTTTTTGAAGAATGTTTGTAAGACAATGTTAAGGATATAAAAACAAAAAATTTTTCAAAGGTACAAGTTTTCAAAAGACTTTTCATAGACCTTTTATACAAAGGAAGTGCACCCAAACATAGGGTGTATCTCCAGGTGGCAGGAATGTAAATGCTTACTCTAATATTTACTTGTAAACCATTTCCAAATTTTCTAACATGGGAATATTTGCACTCTTATAACCGGAAAAATGAGATTTTTAACCAGTTACCTTAGAAAGTAAACACAGTATGGGCAAAAGAATGGAGTGGGTGAATCTGGGGTCTTGAAACACCCCATGTCCTGGAGGAGTTCCTTGGCTTTTCACTGTGAGCATTTCAAGGACCAGTGACCCCGGGCACACTGGGATGGGACTTCTCAGTCCCACCTGGCATCCTACAGAAAGAGGGTACACCGGAGCTGAGCCCTGACTCCCAGTGTGGCCCGAGGGACGCAAGTCTCATCCCCTTGACTTGAAGTGACAGGGTGTGTAAAGAGAACGGGGCTTTGTCCCTTTAATAGTTCCCACTGGGGCAGAAAACATCTTAACTGTCTCTTCTCTATTTGCCATAGAGGAAGGGAAGTGGGGAAGCACTTTCCTCCAGCACATGGGGACACTTCTGGGCTATGAGCTCTAGGTTTCCTGAGATTGAAAAATCCTTGGGACTCCGCCAGGAGAAGTAACTCTGAATGGCGGGGTGGGGGGAGCAGGCAGAAGGGAAGGCAAGGCCCCAGTCCCCTGCTCCTCTGTGTAGCTGGGTGGCGGCCTTCACGGGTCATCGGGGCGCAGCTCACACCTCCCAGTGGCTCCCCCAAAGTCACCAGGGACATTCCCACAGAGGGGCCAGCTCTGCCTGCTGTCTCGGGCTCAACAAGCAACCCATAAACATGGGGCAGGGAAGGGCAGATCGTGTACAGATCCGGGAGGCAGCCTTTGGACTCCAGCCAGGGCCCAGGCCTCGGGGGCCGGGAGGCATCAAGCAGCAAAAGTTACCCCAGGAAGGGTCTTGAAGAGCCCAGAGCATGAAGGACTGACTCTGAAGACCAGACGGGAAGTTTCTGGAGCACTAGAGCTGGAATTCCATGAACGGAACCCCAGGAAGGGCTGAGGGCCAGGCTGGAGTCTCCGACAGGCGCTGCCCCCAGCAGCCGTCCATCCCTGGAGCCACGTTTGCTGCTGGGCCACTTGGTAATGAGTTTCATATTAGAAAAAGGGAGAGTTAGGAGGCCTGGGAAATTGAGGAGGATACAGTGACAGGCCCCCTGAGCACGTACTCGTGCCAGGCTTCGAACAAGCAGCTTTTCAGACTCATCGCAAACGCGTGTAAAAACTGAGCCTTCGAGGCCGACAGCTAGGTGAGTGGTGGAGCTGGGGTGTCACCAGCTCTGTGGGATCAAGGGCTCCAGTTTGGTCACTGTGCTGTCCACGGCCCCCAGCCCTGGCAAGGTGGGCTGATCGAAGAGGCTCCTTATTTCTTTCTTTTTTTTTTTTTTTTTTTGCGGTATGTGGGCCTCTCACTGCTGTGGCCTCTCCCGTTGTGGAGCACAGGCTCCGGACGCGCAGGCTCAGCGGCCATGGCTCACGGGCCCAGCCGCTCCACGGCATGTGGGATCTTCCCGGACCGGGGCACGAACCCGTGTCCCCTGCATCGGCAGGCAGACTCTCAACCACTGCGCTACTAGGGAAGCCCAAGGCTCCTTATTTCTTGAAAAATATGTCTAAAAACTGAGTGGGAGGAACATTCGCATGTAAACAGCAGGCAGCAGCCGCTCCCCTGTTCAGAAGACGAACTGCCTTCTCTCCATGTGGCCGGGCCACGTCCACAAGCCAAGGGGCTCCCCAGCATCTTCACTCGTGACCCCTTCTAAAGCAGAAGAATCCCTTCCTTGAGCTGTATGTTCCATGGAAGGGAACCAGAGGAGGAGCAGGTCTCTCTGAAGTTGGACCAGAAACAGCCTCCTTTAACAGGTTTTTACAGGTGGGGACAATGAGACCCAGTGAGGGAAAGCAACTTCTCTGATCACCCGGAGGCAGCAGCTTGGAGCGAAGTGTTGAGGAGTCTAATGGGGCTGAAAAGAACAGCTCCATTGAGAACGGACCGCCGTGGCCTGGCAGGGGAGAGCGATGGCCTCTGGGCTCTGGCTCAGCCTGGCCTTGGCCTCCATCCCCTCACAGGGACTTGGTGCAAATTAGAGCAAGGTGCACACACAGCCGGGTAAGCAGCAGGGGCGCTGGGATCCACCCTCACTCACTGGGTGCTGGGTGATGACTTGCATGTCTGCGAGGCCCTCAAGACCTTTTCTTCAACCCCCTGACTACTGGTTAATTAGTAAAAGTACTTCTCAAAGGAGGTCAGAAGCCATCAATCCCCATTCATGCAAGAACACCAGTTCTCAAAACAGGTAAAAGGTGTGCTGAAAGGTCCACGTGTAAGATAGAGACACCATGCTCTGAAATTGTGGACAAGGATCACTCTGTCCCTACCACACGGGAGCCACGTCCCTCCGTCTTCATAAACAGTGGGTGTCCTCAGGAGGCAGGGAGAGGCCAGAAGAAGGATATTCAAACAAGTAGGTTCCAGATTTTCCACATCATCCTTGGGCTTGGAAACCTTCACGAGGCGGGTCCAAAAGCCCACATTTACGTCTATGTGCGTGCTCTTCACAGGTGTTCACACAGACAACCAACTTCCCCAGACCTGCTTCACATTCTGGATTCCCAGTTCCAGTAATGGGCACCCAGCTCCCCAAATCAGAAAGCAGAAGACCCTGATCCCTCCCTCACTGCACTCTAGAGGCCGCCAAGCACCTGGAGTCCCCTCCGCACAGCTCTCACCCTCAGCTCTCAGTCTCCACTATGGCCATCTTGGCTCAAATCACTTTCTCAACTGGTCTCTTTCCTCCAGCTTCACTCCTCCCTGCATGCTGCTTGTTCCAGGGCCTTTCCTAAACCTTGCCCTGACTCCTTTCAGCCTTCAGAATCAGCCCCAACCTCCATCCGACCTGCCTCAATTTGG